CCCTATGATAAGACCGGCCGTGGCCGGGGCTGTCCCATCCCTACGCTGTTATAACGGTGCCTCAAAAATAGGCGCCGATTCGAGGAAAGTCGAAAGGGCAAAAAGCCGGTCCTACGGGACCCACCCGCTAACGAGGAGTCACAACCCTCGACCTCAGAAGTGCACAAAGCCAACCGGATAGGGATGATCCAGACCGTAGATTCTGCCTCGGAAAAACCCGAGGTATTCCTCCGGGCCTATCCTATAACCTGGAAAAGCGTAGAGTGTGACTGTGAGGTCTGGGGAAACCCCTCGGCTGCCATCCTAAACTCGGGATCATCGGCAGTCGCCATTTCTTGGAGATTGACGAAACAGTTGGGAAGGGAAGGACAGGTTCAGCCCCTCCGACCGGATGGACTGTATATATCCGCTACGGAAGATAGTATTCATTGTAAAAGGTGAATAACGAACGTGCCTATACGGGTGGGGCGGGTGCATTGTTTGTGTGACGTGATTGTGCTGGATGTACAGGCGTATGATGTTCTACTAGGCATTCCGTGGCAGGCGGCGGTCGGAGCGCGAATGCACTTTGACAGCTGTAAGGTGGTGCTCACATCGGCCCACCCCAAACCCCAAACGATACCAATGAGACTGGCGGTGCGCACGCGCACCCAGCCKGYGCCTCGCCTCAYCACTAAAKCCCATCAAATCAACATGATCCGACGYCTGTCACCAGACGAAAATGAACCCTCGACGGAAACTGACAAGACTRATGCACCCGACCGATATCCGATCCGAGTACAGGATCGGTGSCGCCATTCTTGGCGGCGAGAACCACTGGAAATAGTTCGGAGCGAGTCCAATTGGTCGCACGCGTTCTCCTCCGTGGTGCAGGGGGAACCCCTGCTGAGGGTGTCCCGAATAGCTGACCTTTCGGAACCCCCTGCGTCCTTGTATCTCCGGACGGACCCCCTACCTGAAAGATTTACCGAGCTGAGGGGGCTGTGCGATTTATCTTTTCGACCTCCACGGCCCCTACTCACGAATGAAAAAGCCGCGATACTCCTGAAAGAGGGGGTGTCGTTTCAACCCCGAACAAGGGAGTATTGGTGGGGACCGAGGGAACTGGCGCAGGCCTTTTCGGTCGAACCCTCGGCCGAACCCGAACTGGATAGTGACAGTGACATGGAAAGTGAGCCGATGAGTCCGGCAGACAGCCAACTTATTGCGACGGTCCTTTCGGCGAAAACCGACAACTCTTTGTTTGGGGCCTCGCCCGATGCCAACGCGGCAGTCCCCACGGTTACGACGATGGTCTCCTTTCTTGGGGGAACCGTTGAAGTTCAGTTACCAGCCCGTGTTCCGGACGAATACAAACGCCTCCTCTTCGCGGTTATACGGGCCTATCTTGAGGCCGTCAACATTCAGGACCACGACATAGGGCTAACCCCTTTGATACAACACGCGATTGACACCGGGGATCACGCCCCGATACATTGCCGACCGTACCGATATTCCCTTAAAGAAAGGCAACTGGCGTTGGAAAGGGTACGGGAATTCGAGCGGTTGGGGTGGGTCGAACCATCGCTGGGACCATGGTCTTTTCCTGTGGTCCTTGTGCCAAAACGAAATGGCTCGGTTCAGGTATGTATCGACTACTGGAAATTGAACGCCATCACTACCAAAGATGTGTATCCCTTGCCACGAATCGATGATTTGTTAGATGCTATCGGGGCCGCTCGAGTCTTTTCCAAGTTCGATATCCGACACGGTTTTCACCACGTCGCAGTCCGACCGGAGGACCGACCCAAAACTGCCTTTGTCCTGTTTGAGGGCACGGGGCAATGGGTCCGGTGTCCCATGGGAATTTGTAACGCCCCTGCAACGTTTCAGCGGGCCATGAATATGGCCTTCGCTGAGTTCGTTAACAAAACCCGACTAACCTAGCCCCTGATCAATTTCTGCGTGATTGTGCACATGGATGATATTTTGGTCTTTTTAAAAACACATGAGTACCACGTGGAACACATTGAGTGGGTTTTGCATGCACTGAAAGATGCAGGGTTCAAAGTGGCCTTGGAGAAAAGCGAGTTCTTCTTGTCGGAGATCTCATTCTTGGGGTATATCGTCATGGTCGACGGACTAAATCCGGATCCGAGGAAGGTGGCAGCAGTTCAAGACGCCCCGGCGTCGGTCACACTCACCCAGGTTCGGGCTTTTCTAGGGCTGGCATCCTATTACCGACGCTTCATCAAGGGGTTCGCCGGCATAGCGAAGCCCCTCACGAACCTGCTGAAGAAAGAGGAACAACTGATCTGGACGCCGGAATGCGAAGCGGCGTTTCAGGCGTTGAAGGAGGCTCTGACATCTGCTCCTGTGTTGGCACGCCCCGACCCGACAAGACCGTTCGCACTGTACACAGACTGGCAGCCGCAGGCGATATCGGCGGTGCTGACTCAGCACGGCAAGGACGGAAGGGAGCACGTCATTTGAGTATGCGTCCAAGACGCTGAGCCAGGCGCAGGCTAATTACGAAGCGTGCAAAGGTGAATGCCTGGCGGTGGTGTGGGGGATTCAGCATTTCCGACCGTATCTGTACGGCCAGAAATTCGTGCTGGTAACGGATCATCAGCCGCTGCTGTCCCTACGCAACAACACGGACTACACGGGGACGCTGGGCAGGTGGGCGGTGTGTCTGCAAGACTATGACTTCGACATCCGCCACCGTGCCACGCGACAGCATGGTAACGCCGATGGATTAACGCGCCTTCTGCCGCCCAACAAGTGTCTCGCCAACGAGCGACTCATTCCGTGGAGGCCAGAAGTCGTGGCGACGAAACCACACTACGGGGAACTACACGTGCTGAGTAAGGACGACGCCTGAGTCCGGAATGGAGGTTTCATCGGAGATGGTCGACGCTATCTCTCTGCCCTCATCCCACTCCCTCGCTCTCTCGTCTAGCCCCAACTTGTCCCCTGAAACACACCTAAGTCCCTGTTTCTTCTGTACCTTGCCTATGATCCCGGACCAAGAAGGGTCACATCCGGGAGGGCCCAATTTTCTTTTATGGGTACAGTGTAGTCAGTGTCATACAGTCAAATCTCACCGACAGTGCGTTAGGTACCGAAGTGAAAAGACATGGGTTTGTCCCAACTGTAGAACGGACCAAATCCCTACCGAGAAGCGGTATCTGGACGCTAGAACAGCCGACGGATTTGCGCCAAGTGCCCGCCGGGCAGAAGCCTGGACAGACCTTCTGTTGCTACGGAGATTGTCAGGCGACTCGTTGTCAGAACTTACCAAAGCCGAACGGCGGATAGTCACGGAGTGGGCGCAGGACTATCGCTGGCAGGGCCCGACGTTACAAAAACGGAAGGTCGATGACGACGAAGAGTCTAGCTGGTTGACGGTTCCACACCCTCTTGCTAGGTTCGATTGGACATGAGCTGCTCATGAAGAGGATGCGGTCCATTTCGCGGTCAAGTACACGGAAAAAGCCATCGAAAAGAACGGATGGTACTGGTCGGGAATTCGGGAAGATGTGAAATACATCGTTCAGAATTGCCCGGCCTGCGCGGCGGACAAGGCGCTGGTACAGATGCCTCGGACGATGGTGCCCACTCGTGTAGAGCGCCCCTTTCAGAGGGTTAGCATCGATACGACGGATATCAACGTTCCGAGAGGGCCCGTCGATCAGGAAGAGTTCAATGTTCTTTTAGTGGCCGTCGATCATTTTTCAAAATGGATCGAGGCGTACCCTATGACCAGCTGAAATTCGCAGGAAGTAGCCTGGTACGTAAATCGATTTTTGTGCATGCATCTAGACGTAGAAGAGGTACACATGGACAATGGGTCGGAATTTTAAGGCGAAGTAGAACGTCACCTAGTCAGGGCGGACGTTAAGATTATCTACTCTCCGGGGCATTGGCCTCAAGCCAATGGCCTGGTAGAGAATGTCAACCGACTGATTAAGACGGCCCAAAATATCACTGCGGGAGACACCCGACCCTGGCTGGTCATTGTCGATCACATTTTGGCCGTTTATCGGGCTACCCCACACGGTAGTACTGGGGTGTCCCCCTTTCAACTGAGAACCAATAGTGTCCCTCGGGTGCAATTGTCCCCCTTACTAGGTACGGAAGTTAGAGCAACCCGGGCCCAGAATCGAGACAAGGCCCGCCACTACATGGACTTAATGGCTAGGGCCTCTCCCCCGTTAGCTCGCCGTCGACAGCAGGCCGTAAATCGGACACATCAACGGCAGATCCGTGACTACGAGAATCGACACGCGTCTGCGGGACCACTGTCCCGCTATAAAGTTGGGGACTTGGTGCAGGTACGAAAATCTGCGCGTTCCTCCAAGATCCACCCGCGCTACACAGGCATTTACGAGGTCACGGAAGTTGGCGCACAGGGGCAGCACTCCGTGAAGCTGATTCCCCGTCACAACTCCCAGGCCCGACCTTTGACACGGCACGCTGCCGCACTCCGGCCCTTCCATCCATCGCTAGGTCCCCGACGGACCCCCGCTCCTGCGAGATCACCCTCTCCTTCTTCATCCTCCTCCTCTTCCCGATCTGCCTCGTCCATTGGTGCTGAGAGTTTCAGGGAGCAGGATGAACCATCGCCAACCGGAGCATGAGCCCCCTCGAGCACTTCCAGACGCCGCTTGCAGATCGCTTGTTGCGGCATCGGTTTAATGAGGAGAGGCAGTTGCGGTACGACATCCAACAGGTGAACGTGCCAGCGCCTGGGGTTGCTGATTTGGCAGTGTACTCGTTGCTTTGCGATCGGCTGACATATGCGGGAGTGTACGTGGACGTGATGCAGTTGCCTGGTCGGGAGACGACCCGAGTATTGATTAAGTTATGTGCGCTCCAGGTGGCACCCAACTTCGTGCACAACGTCGCCACCTTCATCGAAGACTTGACGGTCCTATCGTAGCAGAATCAGGAACCAGCGCGCAACTTTGTGCGCGAATACGCGGTGGAAGCGGCCAGATCAGTGGCCAGAGTGCAAGGACGGGGGGGACACCGATTCACAGCCCACGAAGTGCTGCTGCGTAGGGCAGAGGACGAACCGATTGTGTTGGTGCCGCAGCTCCCCGCGCTTCTCCCTCCCGCTGCTTCTCTCAACCTCCAAGCTATTCCCCCTGTCCCGTACTAAATGCCTCCTTTCTTCTCCTACACCACCCTCCCCTACCAGCTCACGGAGGGCCCTTACCCCATGCGCGAGTTCTCAGAGTATTTGGTGGAGCTAACTGACGTGGAGCCGCTGCCCTTCGCCGACGAAGATGCGTGGGAGTTGCACCGTGCACTGTACAAGTCGGTGGCGCTGGGGATGTTCCAGTTCTTCGTGGATCACGAAGACCACGCTACCGGAGAGCACTTCGTCGTTTACTACGTCATCGCGCGGCCCAAGCCAGTGGAGAAGGAAGGGACGGTGGCGCTGTACCCCTTCGCCCCGCTCCAGACAATCAATCCGGGATTGTTGGAGCTCATACATCTTGAGCTCCTCTCCATTGCGCAAGTGATCGCGAGCGAGGAGGAGGAGATCCAACCACGATTGCGGACGGCGACGGCCCCGCGGAGAACGTACAACGCGGTCGCCATCCCGGATTACATTGCGCAACACGCGGAGAGATTGGAGGACTTCCCGGAGGAAAGGCCGTTGCGTCCTCCCTCGTCGTATCCTCGACCAGCGCCACCGAAGGCCCCCAAGAAGACGCCGAAGAGGAAGAGACGCCACCCGTCGCCAGGACCGCAAGGCAGCAGGATTGGCGGCGGCGAGGAGGTGATTCAGCCCGCGCATACGCGAATTCCTGACCCTGTGCCTGGGAGCGCGGCGACGCTCGTTAAGGAGACTATGGTGCCATCGCCGCCCATTCCGCGTGTGCCCGATCTCAATCTTGATGGAGCCGGGCCATCATCATCAGCAGCAGCCGGAGGAGGAAGCCGAATGGGATTTCTGGATCCCATATCCAGACCCCCCGTCCTCACGGGACCTCTCCGTTCCCGCCAGCCACCCCGGGGTGCCCCAGTCATTGACATTAGTAGTTCATCTGAGCCGGACGGTCCATCCGACCGAGGTGGACTTCATGGTGGAGCCCGCCACCATCAAGCTCGAGGCCATCGCGGGGGCGCCGCGCCCTGATCCGGCGTGGGAGCCATATTTGACACACCCTTTCCAAGGGTGTATTGCGGCGCTCATCTACGATACCGGGCAGCGTCCAAATGCACTGTACCACTTCCTGGTCTTCGCGGCGCAGAAGCGGGAGCGGCGACCTTACACCGAGACTCATGTGGTGATGACGGGTCCAGGGCCCCGATCGGTGCGCAAGCGGGTGGTGCGAGTGGTAGCGGATCTGGCGCCACGTGTCCTCTCACATGTGCCGGGGGCTTTTCTTTACCCCTCATTCGTCTAGCATCACTTCCATAAGGAAGATGCGCCGACGACTCCTGCGGCAATGGCCGCTTTTCTTCCACCTATTCCGCCCCCTCTCAATCCCGACATAGATCACTTCCTCTAATCACCCTCGTCTACCTCTCCCCTGTCCTCTCCTTCTCCTTCTCCTCTTTTTCTTCTTTTCCGGATCTAAAAGCTCGTGCGTTGATACGCGCTGTATGTATATATATATCTATAAATCTATCTATCTATCTATCTATATATATATAAAATCTTTTTACTTACCGATCAGGCCAGCTGACGATGAAGGGGCCGCCCGATCGAATGTATACTGTGGGAGGGGGCGATTGAGGATGCAGGATGCATCCACGTAGATTAGGAAGATGATCGGGCCAGCTGACGATGAAGAGGCCACCATATCATCCATGATATGATGGCATCAACAGTCGGGAGACTGCTAATTTTTCGGAACCCCCTGCGTATCACAGATGTGATAAGCTTAGATCCGTACCGCACGGCTTGCCGTATCCCTGAGGAAAAATCCCGCGGAAGCCCCGAAGTACGGACGCGGATAGAAAGGTTTTTTTCTTTCTTTTTGCTTTTGTTTTCTTTTTGAAACGGCTTTTTCATTTTGTTGGGTTAATAACTCCCGCGGGCGAATAGCGGCCGCGGTATGAAAACCAAGAAACGGGTGCGGTTGGGACTTTTTGAATTTTTGCGCGCGCGCCCAAGCTCTGGTTTCTTCGCGTGTCTCGCATCCCCGTTTCTTGCTTTGCATCCTCGCGCCATTCTCCCTTCTTGCTGCGCGCGTTTTCCCCATGCAGGACTCTTCGTCTTCCCCTACGCCCAACTTGATCCTTACCCCGTCTTCCTCCGCGAAGTGATTGGCTGCGTAGTTGGGATGCTCGGATCAATGTGGAAAGCGGGAAACCGYGCACCACTTGGACGAACACCCCAATGACGCAGCCATGCAATCCCGCGGATCGAACCATCTAACTCCCCATCTCTCTCTCCTGTCCTGCTCGTCTACCCCTCACGCTGTTAACCCGCCGCCTCCCGCGCTATAAATTTGCGCAACCCTCTTCTCTCCCTCTCTTTGATCTCGGCTGCAATACTGCGCGAGCTATGCGCGAGAGTCCGCGGCGCCGAACAGGCTCGACGAGCCCAAGAACGGGCGGAGTGACGACGTGGGGTGGACCCCGCGGTAGT